ACGCGTACGTCCGTGACTTTGAACTACCCGACTCTCTCCTTCCAGGAACTTTCATCCTCGTCCGCGTCGACGGCCATGCCTTCCAAAAGTACTCCTCTCCCTCTCTTTATCTCTGACATCGCGCTCATCATCGTCGGATCGCCCAGATTCACTGATGTTCACGGCTTTGTAAAGCCTAATGATGTCCGTGGCCTAGAGCTCATGGATCACGCAGCGATCTCCCTCATGGAACAACATCCGGACATCATGCTTGCTTTTGGGCAGTCTGATGAGTATAGGTACCGCTATCTCAAGCCATCTCGACTTGTGCCATATCATCGATCGTGAATTTTAGCTTTCTCTTTCCCAAAACCGCCAAGTTGTACAACAGACGGCGATCAAAAATCACATCTCTTTTGTGCTCCCTTTTCACGGCCTCGTACATGATGAATTGGCCCAAATATTTTCCGACCACACCTCTTCGTTATCCACCTTCATTTGATGCACGCATCGTGCTCTATCCAGGGATACAGGAAGTTCGGGACTACTTCTCGTGGCGCCAAGTCGATAGTATGTTACCTTGATCAGAATGATGCCGGCTATTAATATCTTATCAGCGCACGTCAACAACCTATACAACACGACCTTCTGGGCTCTCGTTCACCAAGAAGGGCAATCACCCAGGGATGCCCATGAGACTCTCCGAGTACGCTTCATGTGGCCGCTTTTTTTTTTTGCTTGACGTCCTTATCCACTTTGTATTCGTTTAGACCACCGTGTCCCATCAGAAACAAGAGATGCTCTTTCAACGATTCAATATCAACTACAATGCAGTTCCCTCACGGTACCGCAAGGGAAGTGTGTTGGTCAGAGAACCGGTAACGCACGGATCGCTTTTTGTGGTTCGGCTAGCCGTGAACATGTTCTGCGAGACAGGTCCTGAACTTGGATGGTGATGAGACAGAGGGGAAAAAGACCTCAGTTAGAGATGTAGCCAGGACGGTATGTTGATTGCGCCAACCTGTCGATTTTCGACCATCTGAGATTCCACGTGGCAGAGTCACGCCCTTGTCGGGCCCGAGAGCGAACTCGTATCGCCAAAGTTGCGTGAGAAGTACAGAACGAAGCATGAGGCGATGCGGATTGCATTGTTGCACTGCGACATTATTGGAGACGAGTTCTGGAAACATAGGCCGTATTTGTGGGTGGAGATGGAGGGCTGATAGTAGTTTTGCTTATCGTTGTACGCTGTGGACAGGGCCAAAGGCGGAGTTGAATGAACACAATACAGAGACAAGGTTCACCCTTGGACCGTTCCTGTACATGTTTCCTCTTGCTCTCTACACTCACGCTCATCCTCGTCCTCGCCCTCTCTCCACGCCCACTCCCGCGCCACGGGTTCCAGGAGCAGGAGCGACGTCCATCAAGGCGCTCATCGAACCTTCCATTGTTCGTTTGACTGACAGATCAACTCTTCCCCTCTCCGAGAAGCGACCATCTCACCCACCCCCACCGCATCTTGGACGCCCACGGCAGAGGCACACCTAGTCTATGGACCTCCGCGCGATCACAAACCTCGAAGGGGGGCGCTTGCAGTCGGGTAAGTTAATTGGATCTGTGGGTCCAGCGGAATTCCCACCAATTTCACCAACCCATTGGCAATCCCTTGTGGGTCCACTTTTTCGTTTGCCCGTCGCTCCGGGCTGAATATATGCGCTTCTCCTCTCTCCGCTGCACCTTTCTCCCTACTTTAACGTAATGCTGACCAACTCGACATCCCCACAGATTCCGTCAGCTCCAACGACACTTGGGACCCCGGCGACCCCACAACCCAGCGCCAAATCTCTCCCCCTGTACTGGCGCCACCGTCCACACCGGCTGACAGCCGCACGCGCCACAAAGATCGTAGGGAGGTGATGCACCGCGTCCCAAAGGGCAAGCGCTCGGACGGGGCCCATGGCGCGCTTTTGGGCAACCGGACGGGTGCGGACAACGACAACCTTCCTCATCGCGCCTCCCCCGATCTCCGATTTCATCACGCGTCTGATCCGCACGCAACACACGCTGCCTACACGTCCGGCGTGCATGCCACATCCCGTCCTGCACACATCGCAGCGCATCCGGTACGTCCGTTCCCACCTAAATCCTTTTCAAAAACATTCCTCGCCATACCCTTCCGGTTGTATCTTTCCGTTTCTCACGCGTCATGACCAGACCTTCCCCGTCGACCCTGACCGCGAACGCGGTACGGGCACCAGCGTTGGAGCCCCGATGGACCGTCGACGCGCAAGACCTGAAGATGACGAACATGGCAATGGCGTGGAGGAGCGTGAACGATATCTTTCGCGACCACGCCATCACAGCAACGAACCAGACATAATACCGAAACCCTCCCCTCCTCATTCTCTGCTCAAACTTACATCCTGCCATCGTTCGTCACCGTCCATCGTGAACCCGGATTCTGATAGCGCAAGCTCCCACCCTCTCACAATCACAGAACCGCCTTCCAAATCGAGTCTCAGGCGCTACTCGGCGTGTGAATTGGGCCGCGATCAACGGGATCATACCCAACGTTGCGATGAGGACAAGTCACAGCGATCACCCACTCGCGGAGAGCGTCACTCATCCGAGATAGACCTTACACATCCGCGGTCCTCTAGCTTTCCCAAAGGGCGTAGCTCCAGCATCGAATCTATCGACGATGCCTGGAGTCAAAACTCCGCTCCTCCACAACTGCCACCACAACCGGTGCAGAACAACACGACTATGCCACCAGTCGCTCCTGCATCTGTCTCTCAGCCTGCGCCTGACCCGGGAACCTTTGGTATGTTAAGTGACAGCGAGCTTGCTGACGAGACTGTACACTTGCGCGCATTGTTGGGTTGCCCACCTGGCGCTCCCGTAGGTCTCGATGCACTGGCGGATCCCCCTCCAGGCGAGAAGCCCAATTATCCGTTGCCGACGCTTATCAAGCTCGCGATATACGGGAGCCCGCGGCGCCGTCTCACCTTGCAAGAGATCTACCAGGCCCTCGAGGATCGATTTGAGTGGTTCCGCCAGCGGACCGATGAACTTTCTTGGAAGGTGCGCGTGTACACCAACTCTTCGTTTAGAGAATGATTTACCAGGATCTGTGTCACAGAACTCCATTAGGCATAATCTTTCCTTACGGAAATGCTTCCTAAAAGTGCAGCGACCTATCACCGAACCGGGCAAGGGCAGTTACTGGATGATTGACCTCACGCAAGGTGAAGGAAACAAACGCGTGCGCAAGCGTAACAAGAAGCCGACCAAGGCTCAGCTCGCCGCAGAGTCAGCCGCTGAGGCGTACCGTGCGTCAACGCGGCTCCCCGGTCAAGGCGACGGGCCGCGTCCGGCGCCATACCCCGTGTCACCCCACGTACCTCCACAACCACAAGCCGTCGAAGAAGACTCCGGAGACGACAAGCACCAAGCACCTCCGATGCAAACAAACTTCACGGTCGCTCCTTCAAAAGAGCTTCATCACTCTCTGCTGCGCGGCTCTATAGCGCAGCACGCACAACTCCCAGCACGACGGCGTCCGGAGGAACTATACCCGTCGACGTCCGCCGACCACCAGAACTCTGTGCAGCCACTTCTACCTTCGTACGATATCCTTGGTCTAGATACCAACATCGACCCAGCGCTGCGTGTCCTATCCAAGGGTACCGTCCCAGGGCCGATCATTGCGTCCCACCACGACATTATTCCACAACGTGGTGCTACAGCGCCTGGTGTGCGCCCAGGCACGAGCCAACGTCCCATGCCACTTGATATACCCCCAATCGGCACGGCGCCTCTTGCGCGCAGCCAATCGGTCGCAGGCGCACCACAGATCCAACAGCAGGCTTCGGCGAATTGGCAGGTCCAGGGGACCTTGCCATATCCATTGTTGGTGCCGTCGCATCCCGCATACAATCACCCACTTTTGTCCCATAGGGGAACAGGACCACAAACATCCCCAGCGGTCTCTACTTTACACATTTCTAAAACCTCACCCTCCTTTATCCAACAACAGCTCCGGCCCACCCCGGCTCTGCCCCAGCTGGATGCCCTGCGCCAGAGGGAAGCCCCTCATCAGCCCACTCTCACAACCTCACAACCCCCCGCCTTCCCCCGATGCGCACGCTCAGCGCCTCTCCCGCCCTCGCGACACCATCCCCGCAGCCTGCTTCCTGCTTGGGTGCTGCCCACAAACGTCAGCAGACTTCCACAGATGGGTTTGCGCGCTTTGCCGCCGCCCATGCCTCAAACAGCTTTGGAAAGCCGGCCTTTAGCAAGCCCGCGTCGGTCCCCGACTCGCTGATTGTGCCCGTACGCCCCTTACTCCTGTCATCGGAGGACAAAGACAAAGGGAAAGGGCGCGCCGAGAGCGAGGGTGAGGGCGACGACCACGCAGGAAGGGACGACTACGAACGACGAGGCAGCTACGGTGGTGCTGGCATCAGCGGCAGCCGACGACACTTTACACCTCCGCCGCCGCGCGCTGGGATCGAGTACCAGCAGATGCCTAACGGTGGGCTCGTTACTGCGCGACGGACAGCCGGGCGACATGACGAGGGCACAGTGGACTGGCTCAATCGCTTAGATCACGAGGGCGGCCAGGGTGCTGATGCTGTGCCGCCCAAGGAGGGCGTAAACTGACTCTGACTGGAGATCAGTGGCTTGTTATGCACGCCGTTCTACCCCCTCTTACCGCCCCGCCCTCTCATGGGTATCAGTGATACCCTTATGCAACTGGGTAAATGAATGACGGGAATCCCTCTCGTGTCTTTGTTGCTATCTTTGCTATCTTTATGCTGTCTATTTTTCCCGTTTTATCCTTATATACTGTCCTATAAATGTCACACACCCACTGTACGTCTCATGCTCACTCACACACCTACAAGCTGTATATCAGTAGACAGTCGCTAGTTAATGTCACCCAGGAAGAATAAGAAAGGAAAGGATAAGATGGTGGATGATTTTTTTGGGTGATAAGAAAAAAGTCATTCGATTCCCTGCGACGCTGGGAATCGAACCCCGACCTCCTCGGATCGCGAAATACAGCGACATGAAAGCAAGGTATGCTAGCCGTTACACCACGCCGAACTGAGGCCAGGACGCCTTGGCACATCATTTGACACACACCTCATGACATGACAAGTATCGCACGCCGCAAGCTGTCGTACACCACGCAACCAATTTGGAGCTCAGCGCCTTGCGGATAAGTGCGTAGGCCTCACATGGAGGTGTTGGAGAAAGGCCACAGGGTCCCATGGCCGGTGGACGAGGCCAGGGACTCCTTCAGTTTGACCACTTGGGCTAGTAAAGTCTCACTGAAAAAAGGTTCCGGAGGATTACAATTAAGGATCACGAATTGAATGTGATCGATGTCAACGAAAAGGCGCGGAAAGGCAAATTTGTTTCGTGTTGCCCCCCTGATGACGTTAGAGGCTCTTGGAGGCTGCCAGTCGTTTCATATAGTAAATCAGGTAACCTGCGTGCAGAAAGTAACTGTTTCAACTTTTGACATGAAATTTGTGTACATACCATCCTTCCCGTAGTACCTGTCTTGTTCCCACCCCAATATATGTCATGTCAGAATATTCTGAAACCGATTCACTTGGGACATGAAGATGTTGTCACTCAGCGCTCTGGGAATGATTTTGTTATCGTTATCAGAGAGGTGCCCAACAGAGGAACCGAGAGAACACGAAGGGAATAAAAAAAACAAGACACTCCGACTCTCGCTGGCAATTGCCAGGGCAATTCCAGCTAGGAGATGACAAACGAAACTGGGTTAATGGCCCGTTATCTGGATGTTTTTTTTTATGACGTCCAGGTGATGATGATCCAATTTACCCACCGCAGTGAAAAGCGACGGCGATAAGCTCAAACCTCTCTACCAGGCACAGATCCATAGACCAGACAGGATAGGATTCGTCCTTCCTGCGCAGGTTCCTGAAGGTTCCACAAGCGAAAAGAAGTGGCCCTGCACATCACATACTAGGTGGACTCTCGTGAAGGGGAAGGAATAAGGCCAAATCTGATAACTCGAAGTGGCGGGCATATTTGTCCACACTCTTTCGATGTCGTGATCTAATATTGAGGACGACATGATAGTGTCTGAATACAGTGACGAGAGGGGGCGCCGAGGATCATTTAAGATGGGACGCCCCAAGCGACATGGTAGGGCAACGCAACAGCGTGATTTGGCTGAAATTGAGTGCCATCCGGAACAAGCAGATGACGCATCAGGCACCGAATTATTTTAACGATACACTTTCGCTTGTGCAGTCCAATGGCGCCTGATGTCGTGGTGCATGTGCATGATTATGGCGTCACCAGTATCAATGACAAATGAACGGAGACATGTAGGGGCGTGCACCTTATGTCTGTTGAATGTGTCCGAGTCTAGATCTGTGTGTCAGGGTGACGGGTCGAGGTCGACGACGGATTTAGGTGAAAATGATGGACCTCGCATAAGCCAACGGACGTGGAATTGGAGGCAATCCTGTTACGCAGCTGGTTCGTTCCTGAACGAAGCCAGTCGCTGGGTGATTGGCCGGCGGACGGAGATAGTTATTGATGATGGCCCTGATCACTCTCTTTTCGTTCTTCGCCCACTGGAAGCCCTTGGTCAATATCACAAAACCTCCGAGGTGTGATCATTCCCCCAAAACGTCACTAATTTGAAAAGGTCCCGTACCCATAGCGAGGGCCCCAAGGGGGGAGGCGTACATACGGTAACGGCATTAGCATAACAGACATATCCCATGACAGAGGCCGACTGCTCTTGTTGGTTCGCTTGCGCGCCCAAGGCCCTGTCCAGTCCAGATTCATGTATTTAAGTCACCTCACCCTCGGTTTCCATGGATCTCTCAACGACACCCGTCCAGTGGTAGCCTGAACTCGGCCTCAGCCCCCACACGACACACCCGTCATCCTCCCAATGGCTCCCCAACCGTCTCCCCAAGTCTTCACGGCCCCGACGTACCTCAACATCACCGCGATCACAGCGCAGAACAATCGCTCCATCTTCGAGTGCTGGCAGCTCCAGCCCGGCTTCTCCACCTCGACACAGCCAGGCACGGCCGGTGCGAGCTCCCTCCAGTTGGGCGGTGTCGTCAGCATGAGTTATTCCGTCCTCCCGCCCAGCTTCAATGCGGGCTTGCACAACGCGCCAGCGCTCCAGTACGTCCGATCCGTCCCCACGACCTATTTCCATCTATTTCTTTTTTTTTTTTTTTACTCGTACTGACATCATCCCAATGTTTGCGAACTTGAAAGATGGGTGTCGTTCCTTTCCGGTGTCGCGCATATCACGTTCCCCGACTCGTCCGACCAGGCTTACGTCGTCGGCGGGGAGAACGGCCTCATCTTCGCGGCGGACACGTCGAGCGTGAGCGCAAAGGGCCACTTGACGAACTACCCGTCCAACCAGGAGACGCGCGTGCTGCAAATCCCCACAGGTGGAACCATCCCCAATCACACGGTGCTGCACTCGGGCCCTTGCATATGTGACACACCCACGAAGCGCAACTTCGTTGCTCTCGACGACCTCGACTAAGAAGACAACCTCTGTCCCCGGCTGAGGCTTCCTTTAAAGGTACGCGGTGTCGTGTCTTGGCTGCTTCCCTTCGCCGTCTATTTGGTCGTTCAGCTGACGACGTGATGGCCGCTGACTGACAGGCTGCATGATAAATACCAGAGAGAATTCGCGACAGATTTATGCAGTTTTGTTTATTCCATCAGGGCTATCATCTCATTCATTCGCACGACATGTACGGGGGCTGAACACGATTGACTTTGCGTTTCTTTCCCGCTCGTATTTGTCTGGATCGTTCTTCTCATCATCACCTGTGCGTCCTTCATCGGGTGTCAAAACGCGGCCCGTCCTCTCTTGTGTCGACGACTCGGTTGTCAGCATGTCAAACCTCGTCCGTAGAGACAAATGACTGCATTTGCTGTTTTCCCCATTCAGGCTATACATGGTCTGATCCGCTTCTCCCCTCAAAGCCCGTTCCGAACCGACTCGGAGGGGCCTGTGTTCGGGCGCTTGCGAATTTTCCGTTCCCCACGAGCCGGGACCTAAAGGACCGAAGGACTCGTAACATCGTCGTCACCTGACATCTTTTTCTCGTTGGCTGATGGCATTATGTGGCCATGCCATCGGCCCGTTCCTGAACACATGGTCCTCTGAAAATTTTCCGCGTTCTCGTTTCTTATGGTTTGTCTTCCGTTCTTGCTGTCTCGCTGCGTGCGCCCTGTGCCGCGAGTTATTGCCAAGCAAGTCGCACGCACCTCTCAGTCTGTCTTGTGAGGGAGTTTCCGCACCTGGTTAACTGGAGAAACCCTGGCATGTGGTACTGATTGTGCATGTGATGCGAGAGCCAAGCGCTCTGTTTACGGTTTGGACGCCATGCAAAAACCACGCAAGCGTTGATTAAACCTGTCATCCAGGTAAGCTATGTTTCGCCATGGTCTTGATTCGGTGCCATACGCGCGCATTGGCCGACTCGGACCCCGCTTACGCGTCGAGGCCACGTTCATCGCGTTTACGCCCAGCCCCCGGTCGAATCGGCGGCTCCATGATAATCATTCGCCGAATCGATGACTCGAGCCATGCGTATACCCTATTGATCTGCAACGACTGTCGCTGCCAGTTACTTTTTTGGACTCGTACGAACTAGTACGAGTTTGTACAAGTCGAAAAGCTGAAAAGGAACCTACTACAGTACTGTAGAGTAAGCGCCCTGATACAACTGGTTTTACCATTCACTAGACATCTATGTCAGAGTCAACGTAAAGCTCCGCGGGACAAACGTTGTACCTGAACCCCAGGATATGTCTTTTCTCACAGACCCCACAAATCCCACTATAGTCATGGGTACGTCTTTTGTCTAGTATGGCACACGTCTACCGTCGTGCTCATCCAGACTTCGCTCCCCAAGTGGAGACATTACTCACCCTCCACCTGGATCCCGAGTCGCCCGTCGTTCACCTCCCTCGTTGGAAGTGTCAACGGCAACGGAGCCAGATATGTCTCCACAATCCGGGTGCAGGAGTCTGCAGGGGAGGTCATCGAAGATATCGAGGATATGTGTCTGGTACGTGTCTATGCACCTCATTGACGTGAATATTACGAATACTGAGCGAATGCCAGGAATTTTTCAAGCAGTATAGGGAATCGATGGGTGGGCTTCCCAAGCGCATTCTCTTCTATCACGGTCTGTGATTCAGTTCTTATCTAGTACGTATCTCAACCGACGCATGGCCCACAGACGGCGTCTCGGAGGGTGAATGAATTCGAGGCCCTCCTCAACGAAGAGAAGTGCGTCTTTCGCTACCTCCTCCTTGACCCCCTAATTGACCATCCTCCCGAACACGCAGAGGCGTGCGAAAAGTTGGGTTTCAACCCCAAGACTACACTCATTGTCGTGGGTAGATATCGCAAGGTTGTATTCTTCCCCTCCAATCCCATCGACAAAAATAGCCCCGATCGTAGCGGCAACTGTCTCCCGGGCACGGTTGTCGACACAAACATCGTCAGCTCGGTAGAATGAGACTATTACCTTTGCAGCCACGCCGGCCTGCTGGGGACGAGCAGGCCAGCGCACTATAATGTACTCCTTGACGAGAATGGATTTACGCACGTCTTCCCAACTCGACTTTTACAAAACGCTGACAAATGCTGATTTCCTTTCCTTTCGGGGATGTGTCCGTCGTGCCTCGTGCCTACAGGCCTGACCGTTTTCAATCACTTTCGTATGCCCTTTGCCACGTCTACGCGCGCTGCACGCGCTCCGTCTCCGTCCCAGCCCCCGTATACTGTAAGCACGCATACTGGTACGCATTCTCCCGCCTGATCATCCCATCTTGTATCCACTGCTGTGCCTCCCAAAAACTGACTTACGCCCTCAACTTTGCCCCACATGAACTAGACGCTCACAACGTCTGCACTCGCGCCAAGAACCACTATGACCCTCAACAAGGCCAACACCTATTTGATTCTGATATCGTAACGGAGAATACTGATCAGGGGGGAGCAGGAAGAGGCGCCGACGCCGAGTTTCAGAGGGGCTTCCGGCAGACCTATGAAAACATGG